CCAAATACAATGGTGAAACAACACTGTTAAAAGGGTTAAAACATGAGAAAGATCTTTGAGTAAATTTAGGGGTAGACAACTCTTAGTTACTTGATCAAACTTGCAAAACACACTTGCCTACTTTCAAAACACACTCCACAACACAACTTTCAAAACAACTTTCAAAAACATTGAAATATCTTTTCAAAAAGACAAACACCATTGCATATACTCAAACAAGAGTCATTATAATGGTTGCCTAGACAAGGCATCTTTTTCAAAACATTTTCAAAAAACACACACACAAAGCACCATTTCACACAATTGAAAATCAAGGCAAGTGATCTAAAACAAGTAACTAAGAGCCCATGGATAACCATGGATGAAAAGGGTGCTAGCACCTTCCCTTTTCATAATCTACCCCCCGAACCCACGAAAACATCTCAAAGGTTTTTCCTGTGCTTTTTAACCTTTCCTTAGGATAAAATAAAAAGTCGGTGGCGACTCTTGCTAAACCGAACAAGTGTGAATACAAACGCAAAACCTCAAGTCAGTTCTCCCACCGTATCACACCTACTATCCAGGCTTTCATATCGAAGTAACCCTACTATCCAGGTTCCTTCTCACAACCCTACTATCCAGGATTTCATATCGAAGTAACCCTACTATCCAGGTTCCTTCTCACAACCCTACTATCCAGGCTTTCATATCGAAGTAACCCTACTATCCAGGCTTTCATATCGAAGTAACCCTACTATCCAGGTTGCTTCTCACAGCCCTACTATCCAGGCTTTCATATCGAAGTAACCCTACTATCCAGGTTCCTTCTCACAGCCCTACTATCTAGGATTTCATATCGAAGTAACCCTACTATCCAGGTTCCTTCTTACAGCCCTACTATCCAGGCTTTCATATCGAAGTAACCCTACTATCCAGGTTCCTTCTCACAACCCTACTATTTAAGCTTTTATATCAAACTAACACTACTATCCAGGTTCCTCCTCACAACCCTACTATCCAGGCTTTCATATCGAAGTAACCCTACTAGCCAGGTTCCTTCTCACAGCCCTACTATTCAGGCTTCCATATCGAAGTAACCCTACTAGCCAGGTTCCTTCTCACAGCCCTACTATCCAGGCTTTCATATCGAAGTAACCCTACTATCCAGGTTCCTTCTCACAGCCCTACTATCCATGCTTTCATATCGAAGTAACCCTACTACTCAGGTTCCATCTCACAGCCCTACTATCCAGGCTTTCATATCGAAGTAACCCTACTATCCAAGTTCCTTCTCACAACCCTACTATCCAGGCTTTCATATCGAAGTAACCCTACTATCCAGGTTCCTTCTCACAACCTTACTATCCAGGTTCCTTCTCTCTTATCTCTAGACAACAGTCTACAACACTGTAAGACCGAGACCCGATCAAACACGGTTGGTTTCGCATTTCCCCAGTAAGTCACGGTGTAGCTTATACCCTGACCAGATATGGAGTTCACTTCCGCTTCCTCAAGCAGGAGTTATTTCCCCAGTAGAGTAACGGACAACAGAAGCTCCTAAAATTCTATTTCTCCCAAGACAGATATCAACATTCCTCAGCAGATTCCTCATTAACAATAGCAATAGGGACTCTCGTCAAAGGAATATCTTAGGAAATCCACATTCTCTAGATGGCATCTTTAAGCCCATATCCTACAATTCTCTGTCGCATCCAGGATGGCATCTTTAAGCCCATCTCCGGAAATCTTCCATTATCGACCTCCAAATAGAATCTGTAAGCCTATTCACGATATCACAAATCAAGTTCCACTTCATGCGAGTGCAAATTTTTGGGCACTCTAGTGTTCAATCATCTTCCACCTTCAGATCACGAAAGGCAGAGCATCCAATCTACATCCTTAGGTTTAAGAAGATTGAACAGGGGCAGCTGTTGTACCCCAAAATATTCCCTCCCATTTTACTCAACCAATGTCAATTGAGGTCCCCAAGTTGCTCAAGGAATTCCAAGAGTTGACCAGACAAACTCTCTCCTAAGGCAGTATACCTCAAATTAGGGTTTCCATTTTCATCAATATGCATGAACCAAAAAGGACTCAAATTCTTTCCAGGGTCCTAATATGTTCCCAAGATCATCCATGCCAAGTTTCAGGCCTTGCATAAGAAGTTTACTCAGTCAACTGTTTAGATACTTGAGAATCGATTGTACTAGGTCAAGAGTCAACTGTGGCCCACATACAGTCAAACCTCAAGATTTTTGGCCAACGTCAACATTTTGAAATTACTTTCATCATTTGATCAAGGGTTGATCATAATTCCCCAAGGAATGCTCCAAATTCATCAAAACCCAAAAGTTGCTAAATTAGGGTTTCTTAGAAAAAGTCAACCAAACTTTGACCACACATATCTTCTTCATACTTTATCAGAAATTTTCCATCCAAGGCTCATTTTTAAGAGGATGCAATTCCCTACAATTCATCTTCATCATTCAAGTTCAAAATATGCACTCATCAAAAGATATGAATTTCTACATTATAGGTCCTTTTGAAAAGTCAACAAAAACACCTTTTGGGTCAAAGCTTCTTATATGAACATGGAAGACCCAATTGAAATGAAACCAAAAGGGTTGGTTATGGGACATCCTAAGCTTTCTAAAAAGTCCAAGAACACCCTCCTAGGGTCAAAATTGAGAGAGATATGCATTGTCAAAGTTGGCAATTTTTGGAAAATTGTCAAAAGTCAACATTAATCAAATTTGCATTTTTTCCAAAGGGGCCCATGTTTTCTTGTTTGAAACATGTTTCTAATAGGGCCCACGACCCCTGAGCTTTTCCACCTATTATTCTATTATTTTTATTATTTATTTTGATTTTATTTCATTTAAATCAAAAACAAATCAATATAAAATAGTAAAATAATGAAATCAAATCAAATCCTTGATTTTTTATGCACATTTTGAGTCCATGTACAGCTAACATGCCATCTAATTCGTGCAAAGTGGATTTGGATTGAAAAATATTGGATTGAAGCTTGTTTTAGAAATATATCATACAAGAGCAAATCAAATCCAATTTCCATTATTTCTCAAGATTCATGCCAATTTTATTGACCTAATTCAGTCTACTATAAGTGCATAACAATTGCAGATCAAAGGCACAAGGGTTGGAGTCGTGAAAGAGGCAGAGCAAAGTCAAAAATTCAAGGAAAAAGTGTGAATCGGTTTCCATTCCCTAGGCCATCTCAATCTATCCAAGCTATCCTAATCCATTGTTGGACGTCTCAGGAAGCTATTCCAACCATTTGCAAGATCTGAAACGCCCAGAAACACCAATTGTAACTCATACAGTTTGCGTTTTTTTCCAGAATCGATTATCCCAATTCTTGCATCATCACCAATTCTAATTGTCATATTTGTGATTATTATCATGTTTACAAGCTAACTGGATGGTTTAATTGCATTTTTGAAGCTTATACACGCACCTGCCATTGTTAGGATTTTTATGTTTTTTTTAGGGTTTCTTGATGCAGGAAAAATTAGGCTATGAATGAGGTACCATGATGCTCGTGAGGCCAAGACGATTTGATTGGTACCATCACAATTAATTTATCATGCTCGTATGATATTTTTGAGTTTCACAGGGTTGTAGCTACAGGCTTGTGTATGTAGGTAAAAGTTCACAAACCTAAGACGATGGTTCCAGGAAGAAGAAGGTGTGTGTCAGCCAGCCATTCGTCTGTTTGAATCTCGCGCGCTTTGGGATCAGCTCTTTTATTTTCATTATATTATGTTTCATTATTACTGTAATAACAACTAACAACAGTAGCTCAGCTGGAAGCGCAACATTCACTACAAGAAAATTAGTGTTTAACGACACAAAAATTGCGACAGTTATGTGATAACTGTCGTAATTGACATATAGAGACAGTGTTTACGATAGTTGACACCAACCGTCCCTAATATTTATTTTGCGACGGTATATTTAACCATCATAATATTATTATTACGACGGTAAAACAACCGTCGGCCCCCATTTAACACTTTTAACATTGATTTTTCACCAACAACTAGTCACGACGGTAAAATTAACCGTCCTAAAAGGCATATCACGACGGTAAAGCACCCGTCGCACCCTTAAACCTTTCACGACGGTAAAATTATCCGTCCTAAAATTCATTTCACGACGGTAAAACAACCGTCGCACCCAAAACCTTTAAAAAAGTTTAAAATTAAAATATAATTTATTCTGATACAAAATTGTGATTGATCGATAGTATAAAATTAATTTACACAATCAGGGCAACACTATTTTTTCTGATTTTATAAAATATTTTAAAATCTTAAAAAAAAAAACTTATAAATATAATCTCAATCCAACAATCCCATATTTGGCTTAAACATCGTAACCATACCAAATTTAAGTCCCGTACACATAATCGGTCCCAGACGACACGTCCTTTTAGCTCCACCGCTTTTTTCTCTTCAGTCAGTTTCTGGGGTGAGAGTGTTTAGCTATGGTAGCTTTCGTTCAACATCAGATTCCGTTGCAGAAGTCACTATCTCCTATAACCTGACACGCTTACAATTCTCACATGGTTCGTTCATCCTCTCTTCTTAATTGGGGTCCCAATTTTGCTTGACTTTTTAAAACCCTCAATTTTAACCATAAATAACTTCCTTACTTGCGCCGAAGGGTTTGCTATTTAATTTTCAGGTTTTTTGTTTGAAATCGGTGTCCGAGATCTGTTTTTATCGTGTGGTTTTTATTAATTAATGTTTTTTTTTGTTGGTAGAATTGACAAATCTAGTTTGCCATATTTTATATTTTGATTCAATAAAGTGAGTCTCAAATTCACTTGGTTGTGTTATGTATGAATAGTATGAATATAGTGTATGTATTCACTTTGATTTGATGTTATAGTTATGATTGTTATAGGATTCTTATAAAAGAAAAAAAAAGTATGTTTTAGCTGGTTGCAGAAATTGAGGACTACATCATATAATAGACAACAAGATTTTAATACAATGGGGGAGAACCCCGGAAGTGGGAGCCAGTATGTCGCAGTAGGTGAATCGGCTTCCCCGAAGGCAACAAATCATATGAGGAAAGTTTCAGTTTTACCTCTTGTGTTTCTCATCTTCTATGAGGTATCAGGAGGGCCTTTTGGTGTTGAGGATACTGTGAAAGCAGCTGGTCCTTTGTTAGCTTTACTTGGATTTTTGGTTTTTCCGTTTATATGGAGTGTTCCGGAAGCTTTGATAACGGCTGAAATGGGTACCATGTTCCCTGAAAATAGTGGTTATGTTGTTTGGGTTTCGACTGCTTTGGGTCCATTTTGGGGGTTTCAGCAGGGTTGGATGAAGTGGCTTAGTGGCGTGATTGACAATGCTTTGTATCCTGTTTTGTTTCTTGATTATCTTAAGGATTTGCTGATAAGAGTAGAAGGAATACTAACCTCTGCAATTTAGGTGAACAAATTTTGATCATATGTTTTTTTTAGAGAATCTTATTTACATTATTACATAATCTGCTTTTGACAGTCAATGTACAGTCGCTATCTGGATCTCCTTCCAATTTCCAAGTTTACACTGCTTTATTGAAACCTCATGAGAGAATTATGGCACTCGATCTTCCCCATGGTGGGCATCTTTCACATGGATATCAGGTAAGTTCTGCTTTTAATTACCATTTGTGTTCAGGTAAGCAATTAAACTCAATTTTCTTACCTAGAATTGTAAACTCAATTATAAGTCTGGGTTTCCAGTTTTATATTTTATTTAACTTAATAAAACAGTAAAAGAAATTGTCCCGAAACTTGAAGAAATTAACATGTAAATGAGAGAGTTAGGGATAAGAGATTATACTAGTATGCTGGAACTTTTCAGGACTTGCTTCACTCCCTTTCATTACTAACATCTGCATCTGCCAACAACTCATCAGACTCGTAGTCGTGATTAGTACTAGGAGCAGTAGAAGATGCCACATGAACCGACTACCACATATCAAACATTTGTGTCTTAAATACTTAAAATTTCTTTGCCAATTATGTCGTCTTCGCCTTAGCTTCGTTTGCACGCGTATTAGCTAATGCAGCCTGTCTTAGCTTCATCGGCACGCGCATTAGCTAATGCTGCCTCGGCTCTAGCAGCCTCAATAGCTTGGCTCTCTACTTCTGATCTGCTAGGATTTGTAACTATCATTTGTATCAAGAACGACACTCTATAAGTTACGTTGACCACCATTTTTGCAATTCCGTAACACCTGCCCCGCGACTTACCTCTGACGGCTTCTTTCCAGAGTTGTAACTTTCCCGACCCACCCATATTATTATTGGTTTGTGTGGCTTATGTCAAGAGATTCATGTAATCTTCCTGTAAAACACAATAATCGTTGAATAAGTAGGCAGAAAATCAGAAACATAGCAGAAACTCAGAAACATAGAAGAAAATCATATGCAGAAAATCTTAGAGTCTTTAATCGTGAAACATAGCAGAAAAGGCATTTATTTAACAATTAGATGCAGAAATTGTCTCTGGAAATTTATTGTCCCCATAAGCAATAAAAGTTTATCAGATTAGAAGGAATTTGAATGCAACTTTTGCTGCACAACCTACTCCTTTAAGGAAATTCATGATAAGTAATCCCCTCTCATCAAATGTATGATAACCAATCTTATATTCCTTGCATGATAGATTAACCATGAAGTTTAGAAATACACTAGAGTTGGTAGTAGATGCATTACTAAAACAGAAAGAGTGAAACACTTACTTGATTTGGTTCCAATTTCATTAGAATATAAATTAATAAACAAAATAGCTTTAATGATAAATAGTAGATTACGCAACATGGCGTGAGTAAAGATGAATAATTCTTCAATTTATGATCATGGATAGTAAGTTTCTCAAACTTCCTTTGAGTATGAATTAAAAGTGCAGCAGGATCAGTAAGCACTGCATCCATTTATATAATCTAGACCTGGCCATAAGAAGCCTAACCAGGCTCATAAAACACATCAACCTACTCAGCCTACTTGTGTTATTGATTCTATAGATAGAAGATGGGATATACAGCAGGTGAACTTGAGGAAGGAGAAAGGAAAGGCTCTATATATTGCAGCAGTAATATCCTGAATGTAATACACAAGAGCTCGTGTCGAGATTAGATCTTACATGTGTCTTCTCGGCACAACGGTCAACCCACTTCCCATCCTTCTTTTTGTGTGTGACGTAGCAATCTCTTCAAATTGATGAAGATGGTGAGAAAATCAGATAGCAATCTCTTCAGAAACTTAGGTACGAATACCTCACTTTCTCACTTTGAATTCACATTTCATTGGTAATTCATCTTCTTCAAATCTCTTCCACGAATTTGCTTCTTGTTTTTACTACAGTGTTATATGGAATTATTATCCTGTGTGATTTGAAAATCATTGAACATGATGATGATGCAGTTTTGATGAAGTATGTGTGATGTTGATTATCGTTGTTGAGAAGCCGATTCGGACTTGTTGATGAAAATGATTTTGTGTAGAGAAGCAGTTAGAGAGTGAGTTTTGGAGAGATGAAGTTCTGAGAAGAGTTTCGGATGTGTGCAGAACAAATTGTTGAAGTTTTAGAAGTGAAATCGTTGAAGACTCATAGAAGATTCTTAAAGCTACATAAGAATTTTTCATGAATTTAACACAAAATTCATGAACGTTTTTAATCTAAAGGTTGAATAGGGTGTGACTTGGATAATCTACTATTGATATTAATGTGTGTTTGATTATGGGAAAATAATTGATTTTGAACGATTTGATTTTGTAAAATTGATTCTGGTTAAAGTGCAAATAGGACTATGAGTAAAAAAAGTGCAAGTTTAGAGGATACAATGTTCTGTTTTCTAACTTAATTTTTCTCTCAATCTATTCTACAGGTTGGATTTGGGAAATGGGAAAACTCTTGATCTTGAACGGTGTTCCCGATCGAAGCTTCGAAAACAATGCATAAAGTATCTTGGACCTGTATGTGCATGCAACTTCTGCTTTTCTGCATAATTGTTTTATACTATTGACTTATATTCAAATTCTGCATAATTTCAAAAGTTATGGTATTTTCCTGCTTTTCTTACTGGTTAATTGTTTTTTACAGCAAGAGAGGGAGAACTATGAATATGTTGTCTGCGATGGAAAAATTATCAACAACCAATCTGGAGATTTTCTTCATACCAAAAAGGATTCTGAAGATGCTAAGTGGATATTTGTAATGAGCACCGAGAAGAAACTTTATGCTGGAAAGGTAACAATTAGTTTAAGCTATGTTATTCTTTCTCGTTCAATTGAGTCCTATTGATACATTGTTATAACCTCGCAGAAAAAGAAGGGGTTGTTCCATCATTCTTCTTTTTTGGCTGGTGGAGCTACCTTGGCTGCTGGACGGCTCGAAGCCAAGGATGGGGTTCTGAAGGTATAATTAACATTACATGATCGAGTTTTTCTTACAGTGTGACTATGCACGGTGTAATATATATTTCAATTTATGTGCGATGACAAAATTGGTTGATTCTTGTTGGTTTGATTTTTCAGTCCATCTCTGCATATAGTGGACACTATCGGCCAACAGACGAAACACTCGACGCGTTCTTATCATATCTCAGGGAAAATGGTGTCAATCTTGTTACCTTTCATGAATTTTGTGTAGGTATGCGTAGCTTGGACCAAATGGTAGTCAAGGAAGGATCATGGTCCTAGCATGGAAGTTTAACACAAAATCACTTAACACTAAGGACTTTCATGAATTTTGTAGAATATTGTAACATTTTTTGTAATTCTCTCAAGTTGTAGCAAACCAATGTAAATATTAAAATGAAATTTGGCCTTTGATGATATTTGAATTTTTCTTGTTTATTGGTAAAATTTGCACTTCTTTTTACCTTTGATCACATTTTTTTGATATTATTGATGATTATTTGATATTAAATGTTTTTATTGTAATTAACTTTATTATGTTGAAAAGTGATAGAAAATAAAATAAAAATACTATAAATAAAAAAATATTAAAGTAAATAATAATTTAAATATAATAGTAAAATATTATAGTAAAATAATATTATATTTAAAATTATTTTACTAAATAATAATTTAAATAAAAATATTATTTGAAATTTATAAATCAGATTACGACGGTTAAAACCGCCGCAATTTCTAACCTACGGCGGTAGAATAACCGTCGCAAACAACAACAAAAACAAAAAATAAAATCAAATTCACGACGGTATATAACCGTCGCTATCTGTTGTGCGTGACAGTTTTTGCAACCGTCGCGAAATAGGCTGGGGACGCACGATTCTGCGACGGTACTTCTACCGTCGTAAATTGTAAATTGATACGGTTTTAACCGTCGTAATCAGCCAAAATAACCGTCCCAATCTATCATTTTTCTTGTAGTGATTAGTTCAAGGCATAAGGACCTGGGTTCGATCCCAGGTCCCAGCGTTTCCTTTATTTTATTTTCATTAAGCAGATCCCATGCAGTGCTCTCTCACACGCCTACCATGTGTTATCAGCATCAAACCACTTGATCAGCATAGCATTAAATCCAACGCGTCCCAGCCTGAAGGACTATGATGCACCTTAAGTCAATGCTGCACAGGATCCAGCGTGGTTGACTGGGCTCAGCATTATTGGGTTTGGAATTTCAGCTTCACACCCCCTTCAGCAATTCAAAAACAGGCCCATTTTATTATTTTTCTATTCTTTTTTTCTTTAATTTCTTTGTTTATTTTCTTTAATTATTTTCTTTTTCTTTTAATTAACACAATTATTTTTTATTAGCAAATCACAAATCACAAAAATCCTTTTTTAATAATATTTTATTTTTTAAATTAGTTAGTTTAGTTTAACTTAAGGCAATTTGATATTTTTTTTATATAATTAAAAATAATTAGACTTAGGATTTTATTTGTACATAACTTAGCTAATTTTCCTCAAAAATACACCAAAATCATTTTTCTCATAACTATTTATTTCTTTAATTTAATTAGTAAATTAGGTTAATTTAATTTCTTTCATAATTAAAAAAACAATTAGAAATTAGGTTTAATTAATTTGTAATTTAATTGTTTTCTCAAAAAAATAACTTAATCATTCTTGTAATTAGATTCTAGGGTTCTCAACTTCCCTCGTATTTAATTTACCGCGTGCACTTTTATTTGTCATATCATTATTGTAACTGTCTCGAGGTTGTAATAGTTTTAATTAGGGTTTTAAATTTCGCATTTTCATCTTCAGTCGAGACAATTATGTAACTGTCAAAGCCTTGTAATAGCTAGGTTTACTTTCTCGCACTTTTAAATTCCTGCAAATATTTAACTGTCTAGATGTATGCTAATAGGATTGTATGGAAAGAATGCTCAAAATTTAAAACGGTAGATAACCTAATGTACAAAGACAAAATAATTGAAAAAAATTAACATGCACATATTCACTCCT